CTCCTCCTTTCCCTCCCCACAAAACTTTTTGCTAGTTGGAGAATTACCAAAAGGAGGAAGATAAAAAGCCATTAAGTAGTAGTACTTAATGGAATAAAATCACCAATAAATGCCAGCGTTTAGGAAGTAATTTCTGCTCAAGCAAAAAAAATTGTTTACTCCATGTGCTTAAAATATTTTCACTGTCTTCTTCCTTTACTCACAGGACTTTCCCCTCCATTAGAAATTAGCAAAGACTAAAGAAAGGACTGTAATTATTACAATAAGCTTTCCTTAGCTCAGTTCCTAATAATAAGTACAATTAAAATACACACATGCACACACTAGGGTTCAAGTTCTTATAAAACAGAAAGGATAGCTTCTTGGTGGTACTTACTCATGAAATTTATTACCTGCTTCTGACATGGCAAATACCCAAATTGAGAACCCAAAAGCTGCAGCATATGGGAAACAGTTAAAACAAATCTGAACACAAAACTAAGTGAAAAACGTTACAACCAAATACAGCCTAAAGTCTCCTCACACTATGAGGTTTCAGCAAAGTCAATCTTCATATTACCTCACACAAATCTTCTAACTAAAAAAAGATGTATCTCACTTGTAAATCAACTTAACTGAGGATAACATGTCATCTTATTTACAGGAAAAGCAGGCAGATCTGAATGATTATGTGCTGGTTAATCCTATTTTAAAAATCCATACTGTAGAATAGTAATAACACATTAGTAAAGCAGATTAAGAATCATCTGTCCAATGGATCTCAAAACAAAGTAGCCAAGGGGAAATGACTCCTGATTAGAAAGGCTCCTGGCTGGTTTTATGGAGTGTCATCAACCATATTTAGTCACAAGTAAATGCAAACTCACTGCAAAACAAATTTGGAGACAGCCAAAGGTTATTAAGCATAGTAAAAGAGGACAGCAGAAAGTCACAGGGACCCGTGTGATGTATGCTAGCAAAAAAGTAGAAGTCAAGGGTAACAAAAAGATTAAAAAAAAAAAAAAAGCTACCTGAAGTTGTATTTTATACTTTTCTGTTTTGAAAATGTACCTGTGATTAATAAATTTGGGGCTGAAAAGATCTAGCCAGGAGTAGTCTATCTGTTCTGTTGTGTGACCACAAAACCAAGTTGTAACGCGAAAACATCTAAGGAAGAGAGTTTTCTTATTGATATATCTCCTATGTGTCATATTCCAACCTAGCCATAACCCCTCCACATCCCCAACAGTTGCTCACACAGGCACCTGGTACAGCCCTTCAGCTAACCCCTTAAATTGTATTGAAAGATTGCTTTTCTATCACCAGTTGCTTAAATAATAATGCGATGAGCTTATATTTCTGTGGTTGAAATCTCTGTGACTATTTGGGTAAATACAACAGTATTGCTTCCTTCTAGATGTATTAAAAATAGCAATACTGTCAGCCTTTGACAGGAACACTGAGAAAAATAATGCAGACATTTTCTTATAATTCTGTGATGAGCTACATTCTCTTTTACATCTTCCTTCAAGTTCTTGCTCCAAATAAGAGTTGTTACTCTCAAGCAGAACCATCAGCAAAAAAAAAAGTGACATTTGAAAGGCAGAGACCCAAAAGGAAGCAAAAAGACTTACCTAAATCATGTTTAGATTTTCACAACGCCCAAGCATCATTTTAGAGGTCTGACTCCTGATAACTCTGCCAGCAGTATGCAAGAAAACCTGTTAACCTTAAAGCTGCATATATCCTCTATTTTAATGTTTTGAGCTTCACAATCCCCATTCTGTTTTAGCCTTTTTCTCTTTTTCCTGACTCTGAGATACATCTATATTATCCCAAATGTAGAGCACTAAGAGTAGCACAAATCTCTACTTACAGGAATCATCCAGTTGGCCAGGTCACCGTACTTAGACACCTGCATAGCTCCAAGCATTGTCAAATCAACATGGCCTCTGGCAACAGAAAGTGTGTAATTAGCATATCATGTTCCAGCCACAGCCCACAAATCTTAACAAGCTTTTGTTCACATTGCCATTACATCAATATAAAAACACTGGCATACCACAGAGGTAGCAACCATTTTGTCACAGATGTAGTTGTTTTTTTTTCCCTCTAGATGTATTGCTGATGCTAATTTTTCTGTCTGCCTACTGAGCCTCAAAAACATTATTACTATTGTCTGGTTTTGGTTAATTGTATGCACAGTCAATCAGCTCTGAACTCATACTTTTAAGTGCACTCCTTCACATATTTATATGCACTCATTATCTTTTCAGAGCCATTAGGACTTAGTGTTTGTTTGCATCCAACTTCCTTCCCGAAAAACAAACAAAAAACAGGTGCAGATGGTGAATTTCCATTAGGGAGGTGAAATGAAGATCACAGTTGCAAGCTGAGCAAAGAGAATATACAGAGCACAAGTAGAGATTAGATACTTGGAAATGGCCAAAAAGTAGTTGTTAAAACATAGTTACGAATGTCTTTATGTATGGCCAGGTGGTGGAAGACACAAATATCCCTACAGTACCAATTAGTTACAGTATTTTTCTATTTACAGTAGCTTGAACTAATCCTCTGTAAACCATCACTAATCCATGATTATTTTACAGATTATTAAATGCTAACCACATTTCCAAGAATGAATAATGAGTTCAAGTCATTGACTCAGTTTATTCTTTTTCATGTTTCAAAAGATTAGAGTTTGCAATGTTACGTACCCTCTTATCATTGCAAATGATTCATCACTAGAGAAATAGGAAGAACCTGGAAGAACAGTGACTGTCTCCTTACCTGTAAAAGAAATAAGCTATAGTATGTATTTATGCATTTTGTTTTTTTGACAAGTGAAGTGACAGCTATTAACAAAGAAATAAGAGGTTTTTAATAAAATTCCTTTGGATTCTGTACAGCCTTGGACCTACTTACACTTATTATGTCACATGTAAACCTAATCAATCACAACGAATTGTGAAGCAGTCTGTACAGTTTTTTATGGATTGCCTGCTCTTTGACCACCAGCAGTTCCAAGCATGACACCACTGACACCACAAGCTAAGAAATGTCTGTGGACTTCAGATTTCTATTCTACCCACAGAAAAAGCGAGAGGTAACTCTCTTTTAAAACAGACAAAGAACATCTTCAGGAGACAGGCAAGTTGCAAGGAACAGAAAGCAGACCAGACTGAACAATCTAGAGTGACAATTATGTAGAATACAGAAAAATAAACACAGATCTAGTCTAGTCTTGCTCTGTCAAAGTGCATGAGAAAGTGTGCTTCTATGTGCTGTGCTCTTCTCTGTACACTTCTTGGGTCAAGCAATGGAGCACAGATGTAATTGCCTTATTTTGATTGTGTACAGAGCTCTCTCTTTCTACTTCTGCCAGCACTTTGAATCAGCTTAACCAACAACCATGTGTACAGAGTGCCTCTGGAAAGGCATAATAAATACAGCCAAAGGTGAGATTATAACCTGAGCATGGGAAATTTAAAAGAAAAAAAAAACCAAAAACTAAAAATAAACTACAAATAAAGAACTTTAGCTTCAGATTACATTGTGAAGAAGTTAGTGTAATAATCAAGGGGAACAGGAATGAGCCATCATGAGTTCCCAGAAAACAGAGAAAAAGACGATGGGAAAAGGGAAGGAAACACTATAGGAAAATTAAAATAGAGACTTAAGTTAGCTGCTTTAATTTATTGAGTCCACTTGATGTGTATTGTGTGACAGGACATTGTATGGAAATTAAATTTTGACACACAAAACAGTAGAGAATAGTGGTCTTGCAGGCAGATCACAAGAATTCACTATGCTAATATCCAGACCTGCTGAGACTGACTGAATTTTTTTTTTCCTACCAGGTCCCAAACTAAGGCAGTGGGAGAGACAACATGGCTTGCAAGGAGCAACATGTAGCGAGAACCCTAGGTTAAAGTGATAAGCTAAGGCAAGGCTCAGAAGACCACAAAATAATGAAACAAGAGCACCATATTACACACTTAACTGAAAATGCTCTCAGGAATTCAGTACTTGTAGGTATTTCTGTCGTAAGACACTAAGTCTACATTTCAATTGTAGTGAAGATAAACTTCATGCCAGACACTCAGAAAATGCAACAAACAAAAAACTCGTATGTATTTCAGAGAAGTACAGTTCTACAAGTAGGTAAAAATTTGGCAAAAGCCCAAACTAGGAGTATATTATACAAGATGTGGACCTTGGGGACTGATACTGGACCATTCATTCCATTTGATGAATCTGAAGAGAATTTAATCCTATTCCTTTGCCATGTACCTTCTGTTTTCTTCACATGGTATGATAAATGTGGTTAGAAAACACCTAGAATGGTTTTAACCCAACAAAGTGTCAGTGGGCTTTAGCAACTTCTGTTTCAGCAATGACAGCAATACTGATTTTGGTGGTAGAGCTAAGGTTCACCTATCCTGTGTCCTGTCTACTGCAGCTTTGGAGAAAGACACTGAATTACCAATACCAGAATAATCTGACTTCCATTTGCATTCTGACCTCTTATGTTAGCTTCATTCCTGCAAGATTATCTCACAGAAACATTTAAAAACCATAAATAATGATTCAAGATCATCTTCACATCTATGTAAAAGCAGATTTTTCAGAGTGTTTATCAAGTTCTTGGATATTTTTTCCATAATAACTGTGTTAACTTACTGATTTCTAATACACCCATACTAGAATTTCAGTTCTAATGTTCATGATATAATTTCAGCTTTTATATTAAATCAGTTTTACTTTAAATAGTTTTTTCTTCCAGTGACTCCTTCAGTAATATTTTTTTTTACAAAAAAACACCTCCATTTCCATTCAAGCATTAATACAACTTTCATGTGTCTCTGACATTTTCCACCATACAGTGTACCACAACAGTTACCTAGCTACTGGTGAAATGCTGGACTCAATTCCTTAATAATTTATTTCAAATCAAAAGGTAGACTTAAATAACTCCTTATTTAAAACATAATACTGAAAAAGGGGCAATACTATAGCAGTACAACAATATTATCAATTAGCTAAGCCAGGCAGCAAATGTTTAAAGCCGGTGAAAAATTGCTGGACTGTAGCCTGATATTAAATTAAAAGCTTGTTTGATGTCAGCACTTTATCTCATTTGACTTCTCAGAGTTTAATTTTACCTCCTAAGACCAGCTGAGAAAAGTACTATCTATATAGATACAGAAGTACACGTTACACATATACGTGCACCTATGCACATGTATACATATATAAAAATATAAATTGCTTTCCACATGAAAAATCAACTCTAAGATGTCAACTATGGGTCTATATCTCATGCCATTAATCTCTATAAGAATTTTTAAAGTGTCAAGGCCTTCTTCTCTTTGTCACACGCAATACAGAGGTGTAATTTTATATGGAAACTACTTTCCATGAAGAAAACAGAAATCAGACAGAAGCACTACACCATAAAAAGCTTAAGTTTTTATATATCATAGCTTCTTCTGAGGTGAAATGCCTCAAAACAGCTGGGCAAAGCATATGTGAGGACTAGCATTACCCTGCTAAAGTAGCAAATGCATCCACCTGGAGCAGAGTGTTCCAGGTCCTATTTTGGGAGCTCTTTCCCCCTGCCCTGGCTACCAGCCCCATTCCAAAAGCACATGAGTTGCATTCCTGGAAATGCATTAGCCAGAAATAAGCCAGGCCATTATACACAGGACATTTTAAAACATGTCCCAAACATAAATAATTGAACACCATTTTCTAGAAGACACAAGGTGAAAAGTAACGGGAAAACAAACCCATGTTCATCTATAGGCATCATAAAACAATCTCATTTCTGAAAAGGAAGATTTGACCCTTAACTGCCTGGTCTGAAAGATAGTTTCCTTCAGTAGCTACTACAATGCACCAAAGCATGATCTCTTTAACTACAAGATTAAACTTCTCCATTGATCAAAACAAACTTTCGCTTACAAGAAGACAAATACATTAATGTTCATAATGAAATAAAACAGGAGTTGGGTTTCAAATTCTTAATTTTTTTCTTGTACTTTAATAATTAATAACAAGTTTGCATAAATTTTATTTATTTAAAACATTTTACCTGCATTGATCAGGTCTGGATCAACTTCATTTTCAAGTGGATAAGGACCCTGACAACAATACAGACATATGTCAGCTTTATATGAATATACCTTTGAGATACATTTCATAACTGCTTTTTCATTTCTACTGTTTATTACTGAAAACAAATATGTATTTTTTCTGTCTTTCACAGAACAACATCCCTGATGATAAAAGCCCCAATTTACATCAACTAACATAACAGAACTGCTGGATATATTGTTAGTCACTCTTAGTATGACTTTTAACAACAAAGTAGGGAGTTTGTTTTTTTTAACCAAAGTGACAGACATTTTTCAGAAAAAGTACATAGGTGCAACTTCATAAAGCCATACAACAGTGAAAATCATATTTACTTTAAGCTTTACTTAAAATTATGTTTTATAAGGCTTACAAGGCTTGGTCTTGCAAACTATTTAAGATTCTGACTCCTTCCAGCAAAGCACGTACTTAAGAGCACACTTAGGAAAGTAGCATTATAATAATGAAATTAGCATTTCCTAAAAAACTTCCCTGCACTACAATGATAATTTTATGATCGTGCATAATCGCATATATTTTAATATTATGTTTAGTAAGATTATAATAAAATTGGTGGGGGTGGAAATAAAATTCAGACACTGTAAGGTAAGTACACTGCGGTAAGTGACCAAGACATATTCTTACCAAACCCAAGACTCCATTTTCACTCTGCAAGTGAACAGTTATGTCTGGACTGATGAAGTTACTAGCCAAGAGTGGGATTCCAATACCCAGATTAGCTGAAGAGAATTAGTTAAGGCATAAATAGGAACACATTGCAAACCAGTAAATTAAAAAAAAAAAAAAAAAGTTATCATGTTACTATGATTAGATTAGAACTGCTTTCTTCACAAACACATTCATTTTAGTTAGATGCCTCATATTTGCGATGATTTTTTTTTGCCTTCTGGACTGTCTAATTGCATTCTGTCAAATGCTTTACTTGATTACAAACCCACAGTAAGCTTCATTTCCCACATGTGTATCTTTTTCAATAAATTCTTGCAAAACATTCAACTGCTAACAAACTCTCCAGATATGCCCAACTAAAAACTCCAGGTACCCTAACTCTTAATATCTCACCTATTTCAAAAGTGTGGTGGTAAAATGGGAGAATCCCTGGCTCTGGGGACAATGAGCATGGTAAATAACCTGTCTCAAACAAAACAGCTGCTGTTACTATTCAAGGAGTCATCACTTCAAACTACAGCACAGCTTAAGGATACCATACATGCCATCCTCAAACTCTAAAGCAGCCCGTCTGATGATTCTCTCCCTCACATTGTCTCCTTTTTTTTGTTTGCCTTTTGAGTCTTCAGGCTTCCGGACTGATAAACGCTGCAAAACAAGAAATAATTGTAAGTAAGTATTAGAATCCAGATTCTTGCTTCTGCCCTGATTTATGACTACACTGAGATACTTGGTCTAAGAATAACGCTATTTATACACCTTCCACAAAAAAACAAGCTTTTATTCTGTCAGTTCAAGCTTATCTAAGCCAATGGAGTCATCAAAGATCCCCAGTCATAACCGTTGCCTCTCCAAGGCTGACACAGTGATACATATACAACTGGTTAAGAGGGCACCAAGAATCAATGCAAATACTAGCAAGTTGGACGCTCATTACCCAAGAGATACTTAAATACATTTGTAAAACACCAGCATAAACTACAAATACAGCTTTTTTTTCTGCATCCATTCAATTCAGTGGGTGCTATTTTAGACTTATATGTGTGAGACAGACAAATACCAGTCATCTAAAGATACTGGGAGCTAAGCAACGACGTTTTCAAACATAAATCTGTATAATCTTGCATGAAGCTCTCTCCTGAGATTTTCTGGCCTTAAGTTGTATTCTGGTTTGGTTCCTTGGGTTTTTTGGTAGCGGAGGAAGGGCCCTAGGAGTAGTTCCCTTAAGAAGCTGAGAAGTTCCCCCTGCTCAAAACCCAGCCAAGGAGCCATTAAATGAACAATAGATGATGTGCTTCTGCAATTAACATACGAAAGAACTGAGATACGACCTGAGCAGAGAAGCACTTCAAGGAGAAGAGCTGTGCTGGGAAAACAGAGTGGTGCTGGTGGTTGGTGAGGAAGAAGGCGAAGAAGGTGCCCAAGCAGAAGTTTCCCTGCAAACTGCGGTGAGATGTCAGGCTGTCCCCCTGCACTCATGGAGTGACATGGTGGAACACTCCCGGAAGGCCCCAGGAGGCGTGACCTTGGCCACTGGACTTGGATTTTGTGGCCAGTAGATTTGCTGCCAGTGGATTCTGATTAGGCAGCTGTGGAAGACCCCGGTGCCAAGGGAGTTTGTTCCCAAAGCAGCCCCTGACTCTGTGGGAAGCCCAGGCTGGAGCAGCTCTGGACGTCGTGGGAAGGACTCATGAAGGAGAGGTTCGTGGAGGACTCTCTCCCATGGGAGAGAGTCTTCTCCGTTGGGAAGCAGAGAAGGACTGTAAGGAATCCTTCTTCCTGAGGAGGAAGGACAGCAGGAACCACCAGCCTGTGAACTGACTCTAAACCCCATCCCTTGTCCCCCTGTGTCGCTGGGGGGAAGGAGGGAGAGAAACAAAGGGATTTGGGCCCGGGAAGAAGGGAGGGGTGGGGTAACATATGCAAGCCCTGCTCCTTGTGTTGTCTGTGTCTTGTGTGTGTTTGATTAGTCTGAAATTAAATTATTGTTTTTCCCCAAGTTGAGTCTGTTTTGCCCTGGACCTTAACTGGTGAAGAACCCTCCTTGTCCTTTGTCTCAATCCATGAGCTTTGTCCTCCTCATCCCAGAGTGTGTGGGGGGTGGAGAGCTGAGTGGCCATGGGGCTGCTCATTTGTTGTTGTGTTGGACCCAAACCACAAGTTGATGCTTTCCAAATCACATGTAGGTGAAAATGCTATGACATTCAACAAGTTTGTAACACTCTTTTTGTAATTTATTTTTTACTCAGATTACATTCTTTGCATATCTCTCCCATGCATATAAACCTGCTCTGGTCAACTTCATGTCCTGTATCCCCATATGGCTTCACATCATCTCCTTCTTCAGGTCATAATGAACTTTCTTTCCATTACCACTAAAGAATTTTTGCACTGTCTGTTTCCCTATGTTGGGAGTCACTTACCCTTAGGTGGATAGAAACAGTATCAATTCTCTTTCATTTCCCAGTAACTTCCCTTGGCTATTGCTTCATTTGCTCATTATAGAAAGAATAAGAACACTCTTAGGGGATTTATTTGCAGCAAAGAGAAGGTCAGAGAGAAACTATGACTTGCATTAGAAGGACCATGTCTGAGCAAAACTAGGCAGGAACTGCTACATAGAACCAGTAAGAATTATGACAGAGTAAATACGGGCTGGGTGGAGAAAGGATTGAAAACAGTCCAGAGGAGAAGGACTCAGAGATGATGGTGCACGAGAAGCTCAACATGAGCTGGCAGTGTGTGCTTGCAGCCCAGAAAGACACCGTGTCCTGGGCTGCATCAAAAGAGATGCTCACCATTTACTCGGCTCATGAGACCCTACCTGAAGAACTGTGTTCAGTTCTGGAGCCCTCAGCACAAGACGAGCATGAGGGGAGCTCCAGAAGAGAGTCCAGAGGGCCATGAAGATGATCAGATGGCTGGACCACCTCTCCTACAAGGACAGGCTGAGAGAGTTGGGGTTGTTAAGTCTGGAGAAGAGAAGGCTTCAGGGAGACATTATGGTAGCCTTCAAGTACCTGAAGGGGCTACAGAAAAGCTGGGAGGGACTTTTTTTATAAGAGCTTCTAGTAAGAAGACAAGGGGTAATGAATTAAAACTGCAGGATGGGAGATTCAGGTTAGACAATAGGAAGAACTTACTTAATATGAGTGTGGTGAGACACTGGAACAGGTTGCCCAGGGAAGCTGTGGAAGCCCCATCCCTGGAAGTATTCAAGGCCAAGCTGGATGGGTCCAGCAACCTGGTCCAGTAGGAGGTGTCCCTGCCCATGCAGGGGTGCTGGATCTGGATGATCTTTAAGGTCCCTTCCAACTCAAGCTATTTTATGATTCTGTGATTCTCTTTATTCTGCATCACTTCTCCTATCACTTACCATACTCAATGCTTTCATATGTTCAGCCACTTCCTTAATGTGTCATCTTTTACGGAAGAGAAATAAATCTGCCATTTCCTCCCTGTACTACTATTAATAATGGGCAACACTGACAGAATTACAAAATAACACAAAAAAAACCCCAACTTTGTTGTGTAGTTTAGAATAGCTTCATCCCCCATCTTCTTTTTCTTAGGCACATAGGGAAGAGGGCAGTTGACTATGTTAGGTGTATTCACTTATTGAGACCTGCCAAATAAAATAAGGTGTTTGTATTGTATAAAGTCCCACACTGGACAGTCACCTCTCCATTCACTGCCAAACCACAATAAAAACAGAGTTTAAGAAGTGCAAAAAGCATTTCTTTCATGAAAAGTAAAAGCTTTTCTGTGAGCTATCACATCTATTCAGAAGGAAACAGGGCATTAACTGCAGCTTAGCACAACGTGCCCAGAGAAAGAAAAAAACCCCACACATCTGTTTCTAGCCTAATACTCAACTACATGCAGAATGAACAGACAGATGGAAGAAAACAGCTTTTTAACCCTAACACTCATAAAAGAGTTTACTCAGAGAAAAGGTCTTGCATGACTTCTTGAACTTTGTGACTCAATTTTAATAATAAAATTTTAACTATTAGAATTCCTTTCTGCACTTTTCTTTTTCCTATATATATATATATTTAAGGTCCCTTCCAACTCAAGCTATTTTATGATTCTGTGATTCTCTTTATTCTGCATCACTTCTCCTATCACTTACCATACTCAATGCTTTCATATGTTCAGCCACTTCCTTAATGTGTCATCTTTTACGGAAGAGAAATAAATCTGCCATTTCCTCCCTGTACTACTATTAATAATGGGCAACACTGACAGAATTACAAAATAACACAAAAAAAACCCCAACTTTGTTGTGTAGTTTAGAATAGCTTCATCCCCCATCTTCTTTTTCTTAGGCACATAGGGAAGAGGGCAGTTGACTATGTTAGGTGTATTCACTTATTGAGACCTGCCAAATAAAATAAGGTGTTTGTATTGTATAAAGTCCCACACTGGACAGTCACCTCTCCATTCACTGCCAAACCACAATAAAAACAGAGTTTAAGAAGTGCAAAAAGCATTTCTTTCATGAAAAGTAAAAGCTTTTCTGTGAGCTATCACATCTATTCAGAAGGAAACAGGGCATTAACTGCAGCTTAGCACAACGTGCCCAGAGAAAGAAAAAAACCCCACACATCTGTTTCTAGCCTAATACTCAACTACATGCAGAATGAACAGACAGATGGAAGAAAACAGCTTTTTAACCCTAACACTCATAAAAGAGTTTACTCAGAGAAAAGGTCTTGCATGACTTCTTGAACTTTGTGACTCAATTTTAATAATAAAATTTTAACTATTAGAATTCCTTTCTGCACTTTTCTTTTTCCTATATATATATATATTTATTTATTTATTTATTTATTTTTCCCCTTGTATCATGTATCTCCCCCTTCACCAGCTCCTTTAATGACATTTTGAATAATTCCCACTTCCAGAGTATGATGACACAGGAGAAATACAGAATTTTCAATTGCATTTCACGAGCATTGTCACATCACCAAAATGAATACAGGGACATAGCTTCAGTGAGGCAGCACCACAGAACATAAAAGAACAATTACATAATCCTCATTTTCTTGGATGTTTTCAGTGACAGAATACTATTTGCTCCAAATTTTAATAGCTATTGATACCTTTTATTCATACCAGAAATGCCACCAGCTAGAAGAAGCTCCTCATTAAGAAAAAGGACAGAAATGTTCCATGATCTTTGCAATGTAATGTAGTTCAATACATGGCACAAAAGGGGCTGAGAATGATCCTTTGTGATCATGTCTCCCCAATGGAAAATAAAGTGTCTAACTGTCAAGTCCAGCTAGGTGTTGCCCCTTGTGTCAGCAGGAGGTGAACTGAGAGAAGTGAGAATGAAGTTGCATTTTCCATCAAATTTTCAATTGCATGAAAGACATTCAGGCCTACAGGCTCTAAATTATTCAGGGACTGGATCAGACAAGCTGAGGTACAAGAAACAAGGCCCAGTTCTCTGACCCTCACCTAAGTACTAGTTACCTCAGTTCCAGTATTTAGCAAAACTCAACAGATTTTTCTCACACTATTTTTTCAGTGCTAAGGCATGCTGTCTGTAGTAAAAGCCCTGTAGATTCTAAAATATATGCCAAGCTTGAAGTTGTGACCAAGAAGCTCAACTACTCACTTCGATTCTCTTTTCGAACTTCTCTCCTTTTATCAGACGATCAACATAGATTTTAGGAACATGAATATCTTCTGGGGCAAACGCTCCTATATCAACAATTTCTTCCACCTACAGAAAGAAAAGGGAAAGTGAAAACTTTTTTAAAATAATAAACGAGATATTTTATTATTAATGAGTTTCAAATATTAAATATAGAGTAGATCAAATAAAGAATACTAAGGAATAGGACAAAACAGATATACCCTTTAATATAGGCTATTTTAGATGCTCTTCTTTTTTTTAAATTGTTTCTACATACCAGTTGAAAATAGTTTATGTTTTGACAGTCCAATTTTTTAGGACCATCTTGCAGAAACTAGTTGATTCCAAGAAAGATGTGAAGATCTAGAAGTCTCTATAGGTAGTGAAATGGAGATTAAGCACAAAGTGGCACTAATGTATGCATAGTACATATGAAATGTCACCTATTGGGAGCACCAGACAACAGTGTTTCCTTCCTTCTACATCTGATTTCAGCATGGCCTAGATGGAGACCTTGATATGGCCAGATGTCTGCAGAACAGCCCTTCAGCAATGTCTAGTGGTTGCCCTGACAAGTCTCAGGTGCAGAGAGCATATCTCACTCTACCACAAAACAGACACTATTGTTAGGGCTGCACCTGAATCCAACCACAGAAAAAATGTATCATGTTACAACAGGTCCAAGATAACATTTGAAAGAATATCCTCAAAAAGAAGTAAGTTTCTAAACTGCTTCATCACCAGAAACTAAACTCTAAGGGATGATCAAAGTCTAAGAACCCTCAAAACAAGACCCAGCAGAGGTATAGATCAGTAGGGTTACATCACTCAGCAGCCATCACTAGTGAAGCAACACTAAAGAGCCTGACATTCAGTATGACATCCTACTGTTACTACACAATGTAATCAGTAATAAAATCTGTAGTCCATCTTACAGACCTTTCTACTGTGTCTTGCAGTGTGACAATAAACACACAAACAAATCCACCCTAAAAGTAGCAGAGGGAGAGTACAAACAAACTGAAGACCACAGGATGAGTTTCAGATGATCCCTAAAAAAAGCCTGCGGGTAAACAGACAGAAGAGACAAACTGTGGAATCTGTAAAGAAGAGGCAAAAACACCCATAGATACAGCAGCCTCAGTGCACACGGAGGAGGAACACACATCCAAAAAGTCTCTATCCACTGCATAAGAGGAGACAATCAAATCAGTATTTTAAAAACTCAGGCTACTGTATTAACAAAAAAAAACAGTGCAACTGCATCCATGCCATGTCTCACTTGAAGTTTATTATTTTATACACAAATTTCAAAATTAAATACGGAGATCAAGTCAAACAAAAGGTAAAATGAAAAAATCCTGAAGCACACAGTTGAAGCACACCACACTCTTGGTGGCGTGACTATCACAACATGCTCAAAAAGGATGAGAAGCAGGAGACAACACTTTTTGATGAAGCCACGTGCAAGCAAATAATCTGTTACCAGCGTAATTCCCAAGTACACATTTTCTAATTAAATTTGTCTTCACTTATCAGGCAGAAAATTAGGCCTGACGAATATTAGTTGCTACTAATTTGAACTTTCTCAGAAAAGAACTACATTTATTTGCTGTAGTAGCTGAAATTTTTTAATCAAATTTTTTGCTCACACAATTCAACCAACTTCAACAAAATTATGCTGTCACAAAACTTGTCACACTGTATTTATCCCTCATACAGAATAAATAATTTTTCCAATGAGAACTGTTGGATTTTAGTCACTCCACTGGTTAGTATTTTGTCTGTTTGGAAACAGCAGTCAGCACAACAGCTTTTCCTCACAGGAACCATTAACATAATTATTTATTATTTCTGCATATTATTCTAAATGAATGCAACACAAACTGTATTTTGTCCAGGAGATCTCTAACGAGATCTAAATGACCCTAAGGGTCCCTGATGACTTGTGTTTCACAATTTCTGTGTTCTACCATTATGTGAAATGAGCACCAAACATAATTAAAATTAAGTTTGTTAAATATCCATATAGCAACAAAATGGAATTTTGAAAAGGAACTGTTAAATTTCCATGTAATGTGTGCAAGAATATGTATCACCCAGTTCTGGAAGTGAAATTAATCAGCATGCTTATATGAAAAAGAGAATTCACAGAGAGGAAGTATATGTCATCTGATAGCTCCAATCCTCTCTCCTAACTCTGTTCACAGGGACTTGGATGACATTCCAGCTGGGATGGACACTGTAGATGCCAGAAGCCTTCAGCAGTGTTGCCAGCACTGCTACCACAAATGAAGCTATGCCCAACAAAAGTGAAACCAGGATATCCTGGTGGCCTGATGGCCACAGAAATCAGCAACTTAACTTTCTGTGATCTCTATAGTATATAACCCAAGTATCTTTCTAGATAAGAATGATAATGCAAAAATAAATAGTTCACTACCAAGGTATATTCATTTCACTTTCAGGTTTCATATTATTTTATGAGTCTTTTCTGTAACACCTCCCACTGCCTAGGTCTCAGTGAGACATTCAGGAGAGTATTCATATTAATAATTAAATGGATGTGTGTAACTTTTCCTCCTGTTCAGTTCTCCATCTTATCCATCCTTCTGTTCTTTCTTCTCTCTACTTACTTTGCCTCAGGCTTTATTTTGTTATGTATAGAAGAATACCTGTAAACATTTAAAAACATGACATGGCATCCCACCCAAGAGACACAAAGCCTGGCAATACATAAAAATGGGACTTATCAGGGTAGTCTACCTCCTGCACTTTTTAAAATTAGCAAACTAAAATATTCTGATATCATATAGATTGCCTTTATCATCTGTTCATTTTATATCTTAACTTCATCAACATGCAAAAATATTTACAAGAAAGTTTATAACTTTGCTACACAGGCAAAGGTAAAGAGTAACTTCAACAGACCATATGGGCTCAGTTCCCTCTTCTGGGAAGGCTCTGCTTCAAAAATTGTTTAATTGTTTCTAGACTTTTACTGTATTAATTTTATTCCGGAATATAAATGTTCTTGCATCTTTGATTACTGACAATGGAGGCAGAATGAATAAAAGCAATCATTTCTAAATTCTGGATTATCTGGAAGTACTTCCAGAATATAAAAGCTGTTCTCTGCTATGATTCACAGAAGCCTTCTGCTATTCATTTTGGTATCAGCAGTCACAGAATCCATGGTCGTTTTTTTCACAATATCACTGCTACGATTTACATCTACTTTTCCTTTTTTGAAACATCTTGATTTATTTTTGCTTGTGGAAATTCAGATACTCTTCTGCAGTTTTATCTCAGAATATCTGAAGGCTTTCAGAGGGAAAAGGGAACCTTGAAGGCCATGGACTTGTATTAAGAAAGACAAAGAACCTTGGTTCTTGACCAAAAATTAGCTAGGAAATTATGACACAACTGTTCATGCCAAAACACTTGAAAATAAAACCACTTTTTTTTTAGTAGCTACTTTTAAACCTCTATCTGCAGCCTAATTAGGTCCTTTATCACACATGAAATGCTTTCAGCTGTTTTAGCTTTAAATCTCAGTATAAAACTAAACTATAACCAGAAATGATCATATAATTCCTTATTATGTGAAAAAAATCGAAAACGCGCGTGCACAGGTGAGTGAGAGAGCGAGAAAGCAGTGGAAAGAGAGAACTTAACAGAACATATGCATTTTAGGTACCTTATTTTTACACTAGCTTCATTAAAACTCTCTATCACTGTCTTAATTACCCTAGTACACTTCAGTTCTTCAAACTGAAATAATAAAAATACCCAGCAGAACATAAGTAGAATAAAACATTACAAATGTCAAATGTAGTCAAATGTCCAGAACAACAGAAGAATTACACCAAATTTAGCCTCATAAATGCTCAAAACAAACTCATTAGAGCACTTTGGAAAGAGTCAGGATGTCACTGCTAAATTCACTGTAACTTTTATGAAATCGTAAGGAAAGAATATGAAAAAAATCCCAGCCTCTGGAAATGTTCTACCATATACACAGAAATATGCTGCTTCAGAAATATTTAAGTTAGTCACATTTAGCACCGCCAGGATGCACGATATTCTTAAATTTCAAGAACATATGTTTGAAGTCAGAAGATACTGTCAATTTCTCAGAGGAAAAGTCCTAAGCAAATACCATTCTCAAAAGTTTTTTCACCTCTCAGTGTATTTTCAACTTTTTAATTTTTCTTAAGGCTAGGCAGTTTTACCCAAAACAAAAACTCACATAGGAAGATTGACTTAAATCACAATAGATTTTACTTTATAAGAGTAGCTACTTCAACAATAAATGCCTGCAATCAACTATGCTTATAAATATGTACTGTAAAATATTGTGTAAGTATATACTGAAACTTGCAGGTTTTCTTCCTCAAGATGTTCACAAAGTAAATAATGAAGACAAAAGCAACATCTGCTAACTTACTGGTTACTGAAGTTACTCCATTACAATGATGGAAATACTTGTTTGACAATTTGCACAAGTTATAGATTTTTGTATGCATCAAAAAGCAAAAGGGATAAATGACAGCTGTTTTCTTGCTTCCTTAAATTAATTCATTTGGATTTTATGCTATTTTTCTACTGTAAATTAAACTGCATTAAAAGTATGAGAGATTATTTAAGAACCAGTAATCTACCAGCCCCAATATTGCCAGCCAAGCCACCTTTCTACAGCAGGCACACTGAAGGAGTGATTCCTTCCTAAACCCTTAAAATCTGGTTGTTTTGATATAAGACACCAA